CTCCCAGAAGGATGGAGACAGATTGTGGCTTTTAAATGCAAGATTTGGAATTCAGTCTTATCTTCGTGAAGGTATTCTTGAGCTTTATTCATCATGGAATTCTTTGAAAATCTGGTGAAGCCTGTAGACACACTCTCAAAATGCTGATTTTTAAATTCACAGAATAAAATGCATTAAGATTACAAAGGAAAAAATATGTTGAAGTAATAATTTTTGTTTTGAGTTTTCATACTCATTGAGACCTGATGACAAAGATTCCCTGGCTAACCTTTTCAGCATTGGTTGCACTTTCACTGATAACCTGAAGGGGAACAGTAGGGGGAAGGAATTGGAACATTCCTTGCTCTCCCTTGCCCCTTCCAGGCCCTGCTCTACCCCTGTTTCTCATTCACCTCTCCTCCTGTGAAGTTCATTCGATCCACATTTATCAATCAATCAATCAGGGTTTTAATAGCTTTTATCTACCAGCATAGGTTTGGCAAGTAATTAAATATTTTGCTTTAAACTCATCTGTCCTCTGATTGGTTAGTAAAAGAAACATTGTAGGGGGTTTGTGAGTAGATTCTGATCCACACCTACAACATGCTTCAAACTTGTGGTAGCCTGGAAGCGGGGGTGGGGGGTGAGGCGGGCACAAATGAAGGTTTTCACTAGAGACTGCACTTCATTACCATTATATTTTCTCGGACTTGTATAATAGTGCAGATAGTAAATATGCAGGATCTTTCACATGGCTTCAGATTGGCAGAAATGGATATATGTATAATACCTGTAAAACCACTGTCTTCCTTACAAGCTCTCAGAACCCAATTTACATAATTTTTAAAAATAAGAACTCTGAGTATAATATGGCAGCTTTCCCCCCCCTTTTTGATAATTTTTTGAATTCTACAAATAAAGTGAAAGCATGATTCAATCATAGGGAGTTTTTGAAAATAAATTATATTTTCTCTTGAAGTTCCTACATTTGTATATAAGAATGATTAATCAGGCAGCATTGTAGAAGAGAGATGGAAGAAGGGAAAATAGAGAAAAAATTACTTCTTTTGTTCAGACAGGATAAAAAGTTGGTTTTGATCTGATGGAAAGGGGAGAATGTATGTCAGAGATATTCTAGTGGTAGAATTGACAGGACTTGGTAGCTGATGAAATCAACTGATTTTTCCTCTCTCATATCAAAGATAACTCAGATTTTTCAGTATAGGTTATGGGTCCTTAGCAGTAATGGGGAAGTTAGGAAGAAGGGAGAATTTGAAGGGAAAGATAATGAGTTTAGTTTTATAAATGGTTCAGAGATATAACGAAAATGTTTGTTTCCATAAATTTAGAGCACATAGAAAAGTAACTAAGTAAAAAGGATACAGACGGTCTTGTTTTACTGTTAGAAGTTAAGTAGAACAAAAGTTTCCATAAAATTGAAACAACCACTAAAAGTAACTAATTAAAATGGGATAAAGGTGGTCTTATCTTGTTTTGCTGTTAGAAGGTAGTAAGTAGGACAAAGGTTAAGCATTGCTTAAGAGTGTGCATGCTTAATAGGCTTATAAATATTAGCTTCTCTACCTCCAAGAGGGGCTAAGAAGCCATTTTCTGAACATGGGATATATGAAGAAGGAGAGAAGACATATTAAGGGGTAGATGTATAATAAGCATACTGGAAAGTTGTACACTCTGGACTACTCAGCCAATGAGGAAATAAGAGGATGGATGTTGCAGCCAGGATTAGAGGTAAATAGTGAACTCCTGCTTTGGTACAATGTATCTTGGTCCATAGACCATCTGAGGTTGCAACTATGTAATAAACTGGCCTTTTAACCTCATCCCTCCTGAGTCCGAATGAGTTATTTCTCAAAATAGTGAATTTAAGATGTCTATGAGAAATCTAGTTCAATAGGTAGTTAGAGATTTAAGATTGGAGGTTAAGAAGACCCTAGTTGGACAAAAACATCTGAAAATCACCTGAATAGAGAAAATTGATTCATTGGGAGCTAATGAGATCGCCAAATAAAATAACATAGAGGGAGATGAAAAGAAGGCCCAGGACAGAGTCTTGTGTGACACCTGAGGTTATGAGGTATGGCCTGGTAAAGATCCAGCAAAGGAGATTGAGAAGAAGCTGACAGTTTGGAGAAGCAAGAGAGAGCAATGTCACAAAAACTTAGAGAGAAGAGAGTTTCAAAGGAGAGAAGGGTGATCAATAATGGCAAAGGCTGCAGAGAGGTCAAGTAGGATGACAGGACTGAGAAAAGGCCATTAAATTTGTCAATTGAGAGATCATTAGTAACTTTGGAGAGAGTAGTGAATGATGAGGCAGGGAGTCAGACTTCAGGGAGTTAAGATAATGAGCGCAAAGGAAGGCGAGGCACTAATTGCAGATGGTTTCAAAGGGAAGAGAGATAGAGGTTGATGGCTAGTAGGAAGCAACAGATCTGGAGTATTTTTCTGAGAACAGGAGAGACATAGGCATGTTTTTGGGCAACAGGGAAGCAGCCAGTAGACAGGGAGAGATTGAAGATTAGTGGGTAGAGGTGGTAGTAGTAGTACTAGTAGTATTAGTAGTAGTAATAGCATTTCTGTACCATTATGATCACACAGTCATTAACCGTCAGGAGGAAGGCTTCAAATCTATGCTTCCCTGGACTCCAGGTCTAGTACTATTGTCACTATGCCATGATCTTTCAAGAGAAAGGAGAAAAAAAAAACCCTAATATATAACAAAGGTTGTTTTTTCTTCTGGAAAATAGAGAAGATAATACTTTCCTTCTTGAAACCTTACTGCCTGTTGTGAAATATTTAATAAAAAAAGAAGATATATGACTGAGAAAATCTTTAGAGGATGTTTACAGCAAACATTTAGGGACAAAGTATTCAGTACTGAGTCCCTGCTTCTTGTATATAGTATGTTGATAGTAGCTTGACTAAGTTGGAGCTGGCCCCAAACAATGCTGATGAGTCAAAGATGTTTTCCAAGTCTGGACATATTAAAGCCAAGGTGTCTACTTCCCATGCACACTAAGAGCAAATTTCAGTCTCTCCCTGATGTAGCCCATGTATCCACAATAAATATTTATAAGTAACTACATGTAAAGAATACTCTTTTAGATCTAGTGCTTTAATTTTAGAATATATATGAAATATTTTCCTTCTAACAAAAATCTGCAAATTCTACTTTTTTGCTCATGTCTGTACATGATGCAAGAATTAGGTGAACAGGATCTCTTAGAATTATAGAATGATATAGAGCTGAAAGGGACCTTAGTTTCCTTATCTATGAACTGGTGGTGTTGAACTGAAAAGAAAGTGACTTACCCAAAGTGATATAATTCATTACTGGTAGAGTTAGGACTCAAAACATTGCTTCTTTAGTAGATGCTGAGATAGACACCTTTTCATTCCAAGACACATGCCCCCCCTCCCCCAACTCCCTTGTCTCACAGGGTTGGATGGCTGGTACCTGGCCAATTTTTGAATAGAAAGCCCGAGACATTGAATGTTTAATCTCAAATAAGTGCAACAGACTCTGATATTTGTTTTAGTGGATCTCAGGTGCAGTGATATTTTCTTAATCAAAATTTGAAACATTTGACTTGAAAATGTATTGTTTTCCAGACTTCTGAATGGGATATAATTTTTCAAGATAGAGACACCTAGAGAAAATTCCAGTGTTATGATACTTGAGAGTTATTATATCAAAGTGGTTGGCTAGAGAACTAACCTTTGAACCCAGATCTAGGTTCAAGACATACTTCTGACTCAGTGGCTTGTGTGAGCCTGAGTAAGTTACTTTTCCTCTTAGTGCTCTATATTACTAAGAATATAAATTTCAGAGAAGGTGACATGCATTGGTAAAGGGAGTTTCCTCACCTGGGAGTCAACATCAATGTAATCTGAGGTACAATCTCTATACTTTGCTGAAATTTTCTCCAAGTATGGAAAGCAAGTTTTCTTTGTTTACTGTACATGACTTAAGAATGTTTGAGTAAGATTTTGATTTTTTACTGCACATCACTGAATTTCTTTTTTAAAAGGTTCCCTTTTATATCAAAGGATCAATTTTAGAACTGCAAGGGAAGTGACTTAGCTGAGGCAGAAACTGACCTCAGATCTGACTTAGAGGTGGGGAGAAGGCAAGAGCCTGATGCTGAAAGACAAGGGAATCACTGGTTGGAGCTCTAGTTAAATCCACTGCTCTATTCCACTTAAGGTCAAACTGCTTCCCATGGAGAACAATGAACTCCAAGTCAGTGTAATTGTGAAGAACTGAGAGGTACCGTGCCAATCCCCCTCGGCTATGTGATCAGGGTCTGATATTCTGTAAGCACAACAGGTGACCTTTGGCCACATCTCAAAAGTTACAGCAAGTTGAAAATCTGGGTCTGAAAATCAGGAGACCTGGGCTGTGGTTTTTATTCTGGCACTAACACAAGGCTTGTTTCCTTTGTAAATGATGATGCTGTGTGTACCACAAGAGCACTTAATATTTACTTGCCCGTTTCCACACGAGTTGAGTCTGACCTTCAGTAACGACTCCCAGCAAACTAGGCTGTGTGCCCCTCTGCAGATTCCACGTTAATATCCCTTCCAGGGCCGCTAGGTGGCGCAATGACCAAAGTGCTAGACCTTAAGTCCTAAAGACTCGACCTTTCTGAATTCAAATATAGCCCCAGACGTTAGCTGTGTGCAAAGTGACAAATCACTTAGCGCTGTTTCACCAGTTCCTGATGTCAACTATGCAAGGCTCGACTCAATATCCCTTCTGCTTTAACGTCCCGTCATGTCATTTTTAGGGGACAATGGCGAGAGCAGAAGGAGGCTGGTTTCACGCAAACCTTTTTGCTACTGCCTATGAGGGTTGCATGGAGAAACGAGCTATTTACATATGAGCAATAAAACTTCAGGCACTGAGTGTACACAAGCTCCCTTTTGCCTCCGTGAGGGGCTCTGAAAAGAGCCTTTGGGTTCGAAATAATTTCTACAGTTCTCTATAGAATCTGGCAGCTTTACTTGCCCTTAGCTTTGTGGTGACTCTCGGTCTTCTTAGGCAGCAGCACGGCCTGGATATTGGGCAGCACTCCACCCTGGGCGATGGTCACTTTGCCCAGCAGTTTGTTGAGCTCTTCATCATTGCGGATGGCCAGCTGAAGATGACGGGGAATGATACGCGTCTTCTTGTTGTCGCGGGCAGCATTGCCAGCTAACTCCAAGATTTCAGCAGTGAGGTATTCCAACACAGCAGCCAAGTACACCGGCGCTCCAGCTCCCACCCGCTCAGAGTAATTCCCTTTACGGAGCAGACGATGCACTCTGCCAACCGGGAACTGGAGCCCGGCCCGGGAGGACCGAGTCTTAGCCTTGGCGCGAGCTTTGCCTCCCTGCTTTCCACGGCCTGACATGGTCGGTGAATAATCTGTCTAAAACGTAGAGCTGCAAAAGAAGTAAAGGCCTCAGATACCAATTCTCTGACTGTAAAGAAAATGTTGTACTAACCATGGCGCAGCAAGTTATTATACCTTCAGGAGGTAGAGTAAACGACGCGGTCTGATTGGTTGCAAACATCTTTTGATGAACAAACCAATTGAAAAGTAGAGTTAGAATCTGTTAATTTACATAGTCCTTCCCACTTACCTAGAGTTATTTTATTTCATCCAATTAGACATTAGACTTCCACAAACCCTTATTTGAATAGACTCAGAACCAATATGTGTGTCTAATTTTTAAAGTAGAGGGCGGGAAGAAGGCTGTCTAGAAGAATGCCCTAGAAAAGGGAGATAAATTAAATTTAGGACCTTATTTTCGAAACTCGAGCGTCCATTGTTTAGTCAACCAAATTGGTCATTACCTGAATTGTTCACTGCGGATGCTTCCCGCTTGCTTTCCCGTCATGTCTGGAAAAAGCCAAAAACCTTAGTTACCTGGACTTCAAGACTGTCACTTAAAAAACATTTCCCAGTAAACCGCATGGAACCGTTAACAAAAGCTTTTTGTAAAAGTCATCCTAATTCTAAAATAAGGGCTTAGTCTCTTAAAATAACAACAGCAGCAGCAACCACAGCAGTTAGGTGATCTGTGTTATTTGTGGGCAAAAACACTTTTCCAATTCTGCTTCTCATCTATTTTTTTTTTAAATAAAGAAAAATAGCGTAGTGTAGTGGGAAGATCGGAGCTTTGTTTTCTGTGTCATTTAGCACAAGTCACTAATTTTGGACCTCAGTTTCTCATGTAAAATAAGGGGGCTAGATAGCACCCAAAGTTTCTTAGTGATCTATGAAGCTTTTCCAGTGCCTCCTTTGACCTAAAGTCTTTAAGTGAAGGTTTGACACAGTGCTGTTCTAACAGTTCAGCAAGACCTCTTCTGATCATGTCCTTTTGAACATCTCAAGTTTCTGCTTTTGCTGGGTTGGTTTGTATATTTGTCTCTAAACTTTCCTATTTAAAAGGCAATTTAATTGTCTATTCTTCTATTGTCTGACAGCCTTACAAGTAGGAAATTAGTAATAATGACAATAGCAATAACTAACATTGATATACCACATACTGTGTTGCAGGACCTATGCTAAATCCTTTACAAATTACCTTGCTAACTTCTCCCCACGACCCTGGGAGGTAGGTACTATTAATATCCCCATTTTATTGAGGAAGAAACTGAGGTTAAGTAACTTGCTAGAGGTGACATAGCTAGCAAGTATCTGATGTTGTGTTTGAACTCAGGGCATTCTGACTCCAGGCCCTGCTATTGTGCCACCAGGTGCTCTAAATAGCTGGGACTCTGTTGCCCGTCTATGATTGATTTCATTATTTCTCTAAAGGCCCTGTCATTCCAAAGGGTTTCTTAGCAGAGAACATTGAGAGGGAGATGTCATGTTAGTTGTGTTCAAGTATGTTCAGTGGCTGTAATATGGAAGAAGGATTTGATTTTATCATCCCCAGACTTCATCATTTTAATTCAGTATGTCTCAAATCTGGGCTGTGGATTATTATTGAAAAATGTAAATTTTATTAAATAATCTGCAGTTAAATAAAATCATGAACCCCTATCTGGTGGTCACTTTAAATCTAATATTAACTCCAGGGGCATATGTGGCAGGTAGTATATGCTGAACAGGGGAAGAGAGGGAAATAAATAGAGGTGCCCTGTGTTAATAGAATGAATCATTTCATCTCTCTTTATTCATTTGTAAAATTAGAGGCTGGCTGGACTAGTGACTCCCAGGTTTCCTACCAATTCTAAATCTATGATATTATGATTCTAAGGAAACAGTTAATAGGTGGGGAACTGATAAATCTAACAGTGTACTACTGAATACCAAAGAAATTTTGTATCAACCTCTGTCTGCATTCCTCTCTAGATTACTCATGATTAATATATTTAAAGATGCTTATCATCTACTTACCTTAGGTTGGTGCATTTGTAAAGGACTCTAACCATATAAAACAATGTATGCCTCATTTTGGAGCCACTGATATCAGTCTGCGGTCCAACTCCTGGTTGGACCTCATGTGTGCTGTGATACATTCTGGATCAGAACGAAAAGTGTCATAGATCAGAAACTTAGAGTAGGATGTTATCTCAAAGGCATCTAAATCCCCTTATTTACAGATGAAGAAACTGAGGCTCAGAGCAGTTAAATGACTTCTGATGAATTATAGAACATAGTAGTTTAAGGCCATCTAGTACAACCCATATCCTCTAGAACTCCCATCACAACTGCAGAAGCAGTTGTCCAAACTGCTTGAAACCTTCAATAAGGATGAATATACTACTTTCCAAGGCAGCAGATTCCACTTTAGGTTCATTCTAATTTTTTTTGAAGTTTTTCATTGTATTAAGCCTAAATTTACTTATTTACAACTTCCATTCATCGCTCCTAGTTCTTCCCCTGGGGAAAAATAAAGTATATTGCTGGTTCCACATGACAGCCTTTCTAGCTAAGTTTACTTGAGTCTTCTCCAGGATAAACATCTCCCTTCCCTACATCTACAGCCTCATAGGATATGAACTAAAAGCCCTTAACTATTCTGATTTCTTTCTTCAGGGTACAATCTAACTTATCAGTGTACTTACTAATGTATCTTACTCATAAGTGAACAGATGTGTTCACACCCAAACAGAGTATACCTCCCTTAATGTAACCCAACATTAATCACTTTTTCCTTTTCTTCTTCCTTCCTTCCCTCTTTCTTTCTTCTTTCCTCCCTTCCCTCTTTCTCTCTTTCTTCTTTCCTTTCTTCTCTCCTTCTCTGCTTGCTTTCTTTTCTTTCTTTTCTTTCTTTCTTTCTTTCTTTCTTTCTTTCTTTCTTTCTTTCTTT